AACTAGACCCTTGTCAAGTACATCAAACACTGGATTAGACGATCGTATCGCTCCGGATTACCGTAGCATTGGACGGAAGCGATCCTAATCTACTAGAGATGTGCGCAGTTTGCCGAGACGCGCTCTTGGACGCCAGTCGACACACTAATTTGTACCGCTGCCGACGAATAGAGCGGGACGTCTCTTCCTAGCGCACTATAGAGCAGGGGTCAGTTCCTGCGACATCTGCGACATAAGGGTAAAATGCTACAAGAAATGGAAAAACAGATTTGCTTAGTTAGTGCGAATATCCACACACTGCTATGTTGACTATGGTGATTGTGGGACTGCATAGTCCCATAGATTTTCCGCTTGATATAGTGTGTTTGCGGTGCCGATTTTCAGTGGTAAAATTTGCGCATGAACAGATAGCCGTGACTGTGATGCCGGCATCTTCTGTGCGCAACTGACCGGCATCACATGCATAGCTATTTTATCGTAAAATCTCGCCGCAAGCATATCATTCTAAGCGGAAAAACTGCTAGTGTGAGACACGGATAGTCGAGAAATCTGAGTATATAGTTTGAGTACTCAAACATCCAAATAAACTCAATCTCCATATTCTGATATTCGACTAGAGATGCGAGTTGTAATATCTGCGTTTCTGCAGATATTACAACTCGCACTTCCAAATCTCTTTTCTTCAAATGAACATGAGGTCGCCAAAAATATTATAATTCTCGATTTAGCGTAAAATCTTGTTGTAGAGGACGAACTATAGGCGAGTGATAGCACGCCGAGACAGGGCGTTACTGCGGACGTAGTCTTTGGGATCAAGCGCACTCTCACATCTCTTGAAGCCTACTGCCTCTTCCAAAAACACACGGGCTTAATTAGACGCAACTGCCACCACTGTCTGCCTGCTCTGCCTGCCTGTCTATAGGGTCTCTTTAATGCAGCTTTGATTTGACCTGCAGATTTTCTTTGATATTTGAAGAAGTGCAGGTGCAGAACGGTTCACGCAAACTTCGTTTGCATAGACCATCTAAATAAAGGCTGCTGCATGACGAAGGCGCAATAGCAGTATTCGTTAAGTGGGCGCGAACGCGGCGCGAGCGTATCCTCGCCGATGTAAATGCTGCGCCTCCTGCGCTCTGTGGCTAATAAAGACGCGTTTGCGCTCAAAGATATTACGCCTTCGCCATGCAACAGCCTATTCATCTGCACCTTGGTATATTGTTTACAAGTTCTCCGGGAAGCATTTTGGAGTTTTCTGAGATTATCGCCAAATCGTTGGCCGCAGGGACCAGTCGTAAATTGCGCAGAATGGCCTCGCGGCCACACCTATACCGCACAAATCGATACTGTGCAAGTCATGCTCTCGTGAGAATTCAGTCGCCGCGTGCTCCGCAACCTCTGGCTAGTCCGTACGTCGAGGACTGCACGGTACGTCTCCCCCCCCCCCCCCCCTCCCTCCATACTTTGTTGTAATCCAACACAAAAGCAAAGTACATTCAAAATTCGAAGGTTTCCAAGTCTTTTTTTTTCACTAGCAATAATGCGGTGTAATACCCTCACAAAAAAAACCATTTTCGAAGTTTAGGGTCTTACTACTGTGCGCAACCTATCTTAGCGAAAGAGAAAAGTTCAAGTAGTTGGAAAATTCGGAGAATCCACTCATTCCTAATGTCAATCTATAAGCACTTCTAATAAGTTAAGCGAATACATGTTCTATAGGCGTTTCATTGCATGCAAAGACTGCGGACGGCGTTCTGTACTCAAGCGCACTTTCGTTTCCCTTACCATCTTCTGTCTCTCCCATGCATGAGCTATCTTCGTGGGACGCAACGGCACTATACTTGGGTAAATTCGAAATTTTTTATCGAATGAATGAATATCGAATAAATTCTGAATATGGAGTAAATTCGAAAATAGAGAATCTTGAATGAAAGATTATCGAATAGATTCGAGGTTCAAAAATTCTCGGATGAATGAATTTCGAATTTATTCGGGAAATCAAAAATATTGAGTGAATGAATATCGAATATATTCAAACATTGGAAGTCGAATTTTGAATAAATATTCGAATGATTCATCGAATAACTAGAGCTACCATATCTCAAACTTGCCGACGTATCTGGCTAAAGCCGATCCAGTTATAGTCAGCACCATCCCCTATACCAACTCCTAGCTCAAAATTTTCCAAAAATCGCTTAAATCGATAAAATAGATTTTGGATTCAATCAGCATCCTCATTTACCCCCCCCCCCCCCTCCCCCTGTACCAACTCCCAACCTCGTAGCTCAAGATTTTCCAAAAACCGATAAAATCTATAAAGAGATTTTTATCCATAATCAGCACCCTCACTTACCCCCTTGTACCAACTCCCAGTCCCGTAGCTCAAAGTTCTCCAAAAATCGATAAAATCGATAAATTAAATTTTCATCCATAGCACCCTCACTTACCCCCTTGTACCGACTCCCAGTTCCATAGCTTGAAGGCAGGTAGCTACGAATGCGAAGGTAGCTACGAAGGCATGTGGTTTATACCGCGAAGCGAGCACGAATGCCCCTATAGCTCCGGGCATACTGCAGGCATCAGTGTCGACGTGGTTTGGCAATGATCAAATTCTCCAAAACTTGTTCTATATAGAATGCAGGGCATTTATCTTTTTAGTAAGTTGTGCACGCTAAACATTTGTGGCAAGCTGGCGCTACATTTCAAGACATCTCGTAACTGGCAAATCGCGTACGGCGATCTAAACCGTCTAATCCTCCACTACAACTGCGATGTCCTTTACTCAAAATACACAAATTCGCAGAAAATCTTTAAGATAAGGAATAGAGGCGGTTGTGCAATATAACTTATGCAAGCAAGAGTGCTCACTAGTGTGGGCTTTGCGCACCGCAGGCATGAGCAATGCAAAGAAAGAAGAACAGGCATTTCGAAACACTTTCAATATATGAACTCGGAACATAAGCTCGAATTCGATAGCTTCTTTACTGATTTGGTGCCAATAGCAGTGCGAACCTCACTGATTGAAAAAGCATCAATTGAAGTCCACATATGATTTTTTTTACTGTCGCAAGCAGTCGTAAGAATGCGACTCTCCATATAGTTCAAAGGTTAACGGTTGCAAAGGATACATTACCGAGTTTTGCGAAAAAAAAACGCGGACAAAGCGAGCTTGATACTCAGTAGTTGGCTCTGCAACAAACTCGAGTAGTCTAAATACGGAGTTCATTCGAATACTGATTCGAATAAACATTCGAATGAAACATTCGAATAAAATCTATTCGAAACCCCGTTTTCTGATTATTCGAGTTTTCGAATTTTATTCGAAACCCTGTTTTCTCAATTATTCGAGTTTCGAATATTATTCGAAAATGGAAGAACTCCGAATATCGAATTTCGAATACGAATATATTCGGATGTTTTATTCGAATGATCGAATTTCTATTCGATTCGGACCCAAGTATAAAAACGGCACCCAGTCTTAGCATGCCATGAATCGTCGCAATGCAAAAAAAAAACGCTCTTGTCAGACTTGATAGAATTGTGTTTGCCTGGCAGTGAATATGCCTACGATTGTATATCGCTTGAGGCAACGCACCGCCGTAGTAAAGCTCCGTGAATACCTTACCTTTTAGTATGATGACTGTGATTGTTATATAAACATTCATATTATATTGTGTACTATAGAAAATCATTCACTCGGAGGAACTTGAAAGCCATGGGAAAACGTCTACGAATCGAGCTTCATTCCGAAATTTATAATAATTGAGTATTATGGACCGAACTATATGCTGACCCCATCTTAACCAGAGGCGTCGCTAACCTCCCACAAAGACTTTTGTGCATGTGGATTCAAAGGCAGTGTCCGGACAGAAAGTCAATTTTGAGATTTTGTGCTCAGCCGGGCCTGTTCGCTATGCTGAATCCGAAAATCAACACTGGAGCGCGCGAAAATGGCGAAAAAGAGCTCTAAGGGTTGCTTCATACTGCCGCACGGACTGCAGCAGACTGCAGCTGACCGCACTGACCGCGCAACGGCCGTACAATCGCTGCATCCTTTCGTAGAAGAGAAAGTAGTTGCGAATACATCAAAACACCGTGCTTTACGCCTAGAAAGTTCAAAGGTTCTAACTCACTCTTCTCAATCAAATTTTGGCGATTGTTTTTCTTTAATATGCTAATATTTGATCAGATTCCTTTTGTCATTGCATATACCTATTTTACTTCTGCTCGTGTTGTCTATTGGGGCATATATTGTTGAGAGACTGTCTGAGCTACAACAAGTTGAGTGATTGTTGATTTTGATTGATAAGTTGATTTTCGTATTCAGTATAGCGAATAGGCCCGAGTAAGCCAAAATCTCAAGAGGCAGTCTGAAACAACCGCAACGCAGCTACAACTATTTATAATCTCCACCTTCACAGAACGATGTAGCGATCTGGGCGGCCCCGCAGTCAATACGGTCAGTTGCAGTCAGCTGCAGTCTGCTGCAGTCTGCTGCTCTCTGTTGCGGTCAGTGCGGCAGTCTGAAACAACCGCAACGCAGGAGGGAAATCGCAGGTGGGGGTGGGCGGGGCCAAGGTGACGTCATCTCCCAGTTCCAGGAGCGGTCTCCTCGCTTTCGCTAGTAGCCCTAACATCGCTACCAGCCAACTGCGAAACGCGTGACATAAAATCGGAACCGAGAAAATCGCTCTTGAAGCTGGGAGAGTGACGTCACAATGTGAACAGCCCCTCCCACCTGCGATTTCCGGCCTGCGTTAGAGCCTTTTTTCTCATTTTCGCGCACTCCAGTGTTGATTTTCGTACTCAGTATAGCGAATAGGCCCGAGTAAGCCAAAATCTCAAAATCGACTTCTTGCCCGGACACTGCCTTTAATATTTTTGGACTGGCATGTGGACAATAAATACGAACACATCTGCAATTCATATTTACAATAGCTTAGCGTGGATTTTTTTGAGTGCTTCATGGATACAAAGACGACACTAACACTGTCAATGACACTAGTACGAATCGATTTACTGCGTTCACAGCTTTTTTAACCAAACAAATCCAAAGCAAAATCTGAGGGTAAATGTAGATATCTGCATGCATATTTACACCACAAAAATTACAATAATGAAACAACCATTAAAACAAAACATCGCTTGTAAGAGATCATTTACCAAGTATGGAAACGTTCAACCCCTTTATACCTTCAAAACCACTGAATGAAGCCATTCCAAGCCTTCGACAAGTCCATCACCGGTGACAGCGTTAGAAGGCTGCACATACCACTGAAGATTCAATCGTGAAAATCTACAGTTTAAAGGCAGTATACAGGCAATCTGGGCGCATGTGTTTTTGCCTGGAAACTGACGAGGAGGTCCTAGCATAGGCTGCTCAAACGGCAGCGTAAATCATCCATTCGCGGCTGGGAAATCCATTCCTAAACACTCTGCACATGCGCCGTAACCGTAACTCGCGAGTAAGGATGGGTCCCATCGCGAACGCAGTGTTAAAGTGAGGTAGGCGCCAGACTATAGTCGCTATAGCTGATCGTCGTGCTTCAACAAGACGCGGCACAGTTGTCATTTGGTGTCACGTTGGAGGGAAATTGAGTCGAGTCGTCGTCCGCGATTTCGCTACGATGAACACTTCTTTGATGGTGAAACTTTTTTATAATTCTCTCATCTGTGAGGCTTTTTTATCATTTCTGTAACTACTGTTGTAGCGAACATCGCAGATGCCACTTCGATACCCGTCCAACGTGATGCCAATCGACATCAGTTTACTAGTTGCGCCGCGTCCTGCCGAAGCAGGCAATCGGCTAGTCCGGCGCCTACCTGAGCGAAGTCATTTCCGGGTTGCGTCACGGCGCAGGCGCTGAGGGTTTGGGGATGGATTTCTCAGCAGTGAATAAATCATTCGCGCTGCCGCTTGGGCAGTGCCTTAGTTATGGCCCACTCATCAGTTTCCAGGCGAAAAGCCCAAGCTTCCAAATTTGCCTGGACACTGCCTTTAAGAACTCGACTTCATACCTGTACACCTCGAACTTCGTGAAGTTGCAAACCTTTGATTATTTCAGGACTTGTCATCGCATCGGGGAGATCTTGCTTGTTAGCAAGGATCAAGAACTTCGCATCTTTAAAATACTCTGGTATTTGCTGATGGAATACACACCATTTTTTTTTAAACAAGGGGAATGTGTTAACGTCATGAAGCCGCATTGATGGCTCACGCTAGTCCAAAGCCAGAAAACTCAAATGCTTGTAACAGCTATTCCAACAAGTAACATCGCCGCGTGGAAGTGCGAGCAGGCAGCCACTTGCGCGCGCAAGATGGCGGCATGGCTGTTTGTCTACGCGCAGATTACCACAGAATCTCAGCACCGCATGCACACTATATTGAGCTGCATTCCACGAGATTGCAGTAGATGCACGAACTTATACACAGTCGAATAGTTTTTCCGCTTAATATAGAGTGCCTGCACTATAGGTGAAATGCGGCAAAATCTGCGCGTGAAGAAATAGCTACGCCTGTGACACTTTTCAATTGCGCGTGCAGGATGCCGGAATTATTGGCTTGAATAAGTATTTACGCGCAAATTTTACCGCATTTCACCAACAGTGCAAGCACACTATATTAAACAAAAAATCTACTCGACTGTAACAGGCACTCAGCTAACTTCACGTATGTATGTATATATATATATATACAGGGTGCGGCAAAAGTCTGGGAGCCTAAATTTGCAGTACTGCAATTACAAAGATACTGATGGTTTTGATTTCAATTTTATGCCACATGATGCTGCGGTCATTCTCTACAGAATACACCTTATTTGGCTGGAAATGGTTGCCATATGTTTTTGTAAGAATGGAAATTACCAAACTAGAATTTTTCCAAGTGAAAGAACCAGAATTTTTGGTATTTACAGTTTTTGCTGTGACTAGAGATGCTGTTGATATTTTACAAAAACTTCGATGCATACAACATAGAAGAGGCTTTGCGCTATTGTATCCTAGTTTTGCTTTTGCCAGGAGCTGTTCTTGCATGGACGGAAAATAAAAGCTTGCGAATGTTACCTACGTGCCAGTGCAAATCCGTCTTTAGAATAAATTTAAAAGCTCTATAATGCTCAACAAACACTGGGACCAGGGCTGTATTTTTTGCATACGTCTTCTAAATTAGAATCTATTGAAATTCGGCCATGGGAACAATTTTTATACTTTTTAAACGATATTTTCAAGTTTTTATTCGCACAATTGTAGCCAAAATTCTGGTATGCGACGTACACATTTCTCTAATTGAAAATCCATCATTTTTATTGCTAAGCAATGCAAAAAATTGAAGTATGTTGTAAAGAAAAGTTTGCACTATCACGCTGCGCATTTGCCAAGGTAAAATAAGCGTTATTGCGAAGGCGTGGGGCGAATCCCATTACGACTACCTGCGTGCCATGACATGTGGACTTGCCAAGATTTTGTAGGGCTGCGTGGGAGGCAAAAGAGGCAGTTTTGCAATTCAAGAACTGGGCTGTATCTGCAATGGTTCGAATTATATGTGCGCCAAATTTTTCGTTTCTAGGTACTTCCCTTCTCGTTTTGTACGAAATAGTACTAGGCTCCCAGACTTTTGCCGCACCCTGTATATATATACATATATATCAGTGGCGGTCCGAGAAATTTTTTTCGGGGGGGGGGGGGGGCGCGACAAAAATTTTTTTCTAAAGAAGGTGCGTGGCGTTAGCCACGTAAAATTTTTGCGGGTCCCCGACCCCTAAAGTCTGAAAAAAGGGGGCGTGGCCTCAGCCACGCCCCCGAAAAAAATTTTTATAAGGCTAAAACGAATTTTTAAAAAATTTTAAAAATTATTTTAATTATTTTCAAGTGCAAACAAGTCGTTTGCACATTTTTACAACCCATATAGGTAAGTTTCAAAAATTTCGCGACCCATTCTCGGGGGGGGGGGGCGCGCGCCCCCCCCCCCCCCCCCGCCCCTCCCCCCTCGGTCCGCCACTGATATATATATATATATATATATATATATACACAGTTAATTTCAATACGTATTGGTTTTTTCTACCGTATGCCTTCCAGCCTCAAAATGATTTGGATTGGTGTGGATTGATATGGATTGGTGAGGCGCCGCATCTCTTCGGGTTTGCGCCGCGTTGCTTTTCTCGGCGGCGCCGCACCAATCCACACCAATCCACACTAATCCACGTCATGTTGAGGCTGGAAGGCATACGGTAGAAAAAACCAATACGTATTGAAAACAGTACTCTGCGTTGATACCACTGCTTTATATATATATATATATATATATATATATATATATATATATATATATATATATATATATATATATATATATATATATATATATATATATATATATATATATATATATATATATATATATATATATATATATATATATATATATATATATATGCAGCAGTCAAAGCGCGCTTTACTGTATTTCTGCCAGAGTATCTGATGATTAGAGTCTGTCTCATTGAAAGTGTCAAAGCTTCACCTAGCTTCACCTCTCAGCCGTCTCGCTCGGACCTCGCGCGGCTTTCGCGGAATTACGCTCTGGGCATTCCCTCGCTGAGCAGGAAACGAAAAAGACCAGAGATACATTTGCAGAAGCGGCGAGAGGCCCAGCGAGGACCGCGAGGACCTAAGCCGCTGATGCTGTCACTTTCGTTAAGACATATCTGCTTCACTGACAAAGTTAATATCTGCTGCATGACGAAGGCGGTCGCCCAAATAGGTTGAAGGCTGTCGCGCACGCGGCGCGCGGGCAATTGTCAGCCACGGGGTGCGCGCGCACTCCAGTGGATGAACGCTGACCGAGCGTGAACGTGCCCGGTGGTTGACAATTGCCCGCGCGCCGCGTGCGCGACAGCCTTTAACCTATTTGTGCCTTCGTCATGCAGCAGATATTAGCGTGATGCGATAGAAAAAACTGCATACGTTAAACGCATAGACTTTGGCGTGATACAAGCAACAGGAAACATAATGACACTCCAAGGTTTAGTAAGTCTACAAGATATATGACCAACCTCTCAACTCTGGATCGTCAAAAAGAGCGCGAATCTCACTGCGAGCTTCATCGATCCGATCTCTGTCGGCACTATCAACTACAAATATCACTGCCTAAAGTAACGATCAGATCAGTCAAAAGAGCCAATCATACTTCACGCGATTTCAGTCGCGACGCGATTTGACAATAGTCAACTGTCCATACTCATTGCAAGTACATTTTAAATGTACCGAAGACAGGGCATTCTATCAATCCACGTAATTTATACACATTATACATGTGCAGTTTGCTAGTGTCGAATTTGAAGACTTTGGCGAACCCCAAATCGCGTCGCGACTAAAACCGCGTGAAGTATGTCCGGCCCTAAAAGCGATTTATTAGAAATTCCAAAGTAGGGCGATTAGGGACCCGTCATACTTCGCCGAGAAAAGCCCAAAGCGCCCAAAAAAGCCCAAAAGCGCCACAAAGAGCTGGAACGCCTCCTTCTGCGCGCACGTTTCGGCGCTAAGGCATTGTGCTGATCTCGCAACCGAGTCTTTTTTGGTTCACTTTCTGTCATTTGCACATCAAAATAATATCAGAATTGTACCAAAAGTTCGTTCTGCGTTCCGGCGCTTTCGGACTTTTTCGGCTTCTTTGGGCTTTTTTGAGCGCTTTTGGGCTTTTCTGACGGGTACCTTAGAATGAAAACGCGTGCAGGGAGATTCCAGTAAAGCATGGCCTCGCATATAACTATTTTCCGTTCTTTTTTTGGCAACCTTATACTCCTTGGTAGATTGTTGACGGCTTTCAGCAATTATTCGGTAAATAACAAGTGGCTACCGAAAAACCATCAATTGCGTGCTGTGGTTACCGTCTGATTACTTAGACGACAAGTGACACTACTAAAGAGAAACGCAGACTTCCAACCAACTAATGAGAACACGCTCAGCATTACCTCGGTGTTACTGAAGTAATACTTCCAAAGTACACGAATCTTCTCCTGACCACCAACATCCCATACGGTGAAAGACAAGTTGCGATATGTTACGGTCTCAACATTGAATCCTGTAATAGTCAGATAGCTTTTCACAGTAGCAACAGATGGAACATATTTGGTTAAGATTAGAAGTCAACCTATAGCAGCTTTCAAGAGAAAAACAATCCCACGATGTGGCGCTAAGATTATAGACGACATGAGAGCTAATATTTATACCATCTGAACCTAGTCTGAACCTAGTTCGCCCATAAACGATAACGCGCGTCGTCTATGGAGAGGCAGGCAGACAGTTGCACTCCGTCAAAATTATCTGTCTTAATTGCAATTGGAAAAGAAAACAAAAAAGATTGAATAAAATAAAGTTATTATCAATTCACGAACTGCGAAATTCAAAAACCTAGTGCTCAGATGGCGATAATTTTCTCACATTTGGGTGTTTCGAAACCAAAAGTGTGAAGCAAGCGTTAGATATGTACCATCTTTTTGGGCAACTTGGCGATGAATGGCTCAATACTTACCGATAGTGGGTATGGTCGTAACAACTTCACCCAGTTTTAGCTTGTATAGTATAGTGGTCTTGCCGGCATTGTCAAGTCCAACCTGCATCAAAAACATCTGCTTGGCCTGCAAGATACACTAACAATTGAGCATATACCCGAAACTCACCATAAGAATTCGACATGGCTTGGTTCCAAAAAACAACAATCGAAGGCGAGATAAAGCCAGGCCCATAACACCTACAACTGCCAGAAGATATGGTGATTGCTTCGAAAACTATATCGATGATGTGCAGTTTTCAGCGGCACTGAATTGCATCATGAATCATTATCATAATGTCCACGAAAAAAAGCGTATAACATCGTCACCAGCAGCTAAAATCCAATTGAACATACTGCGAAACAAGATTATGCGATGAGTGTTCTGATCCGATGTTCAACACTCCAGACTTCCAACATACAAATCGATAGCCCCAGTCCTTCCCCGCTCCCCTTTACCACGACGATGTTTTGCCTTGGGGTTTATATTAGAGTGATCCAAAAGTAATGGGGTACCTTGTCTTTAAACATTTTTGAAGGTTTCTTACTGATTAACTATAACCAGCAAATCGAACGCTTTTGTGTCAAGCGACCTTCGCATCCTGACAGCACCTTGCAGCAACTGGCCTACAGTCTGCCCCAATCCTAACCACGCCAAATTGGGGGGACGGTCAGGAGGTACGATCGGCGCGAATTTTTCGCGAAGCGATGCCGCAACGTACTTCAGCCCTTACAGCAGCAGCATTTCTAGCGCAGTCTTACTTATAGCATCAAGTCATGTATCTGCCCCCACCCTCGCCCTCCTGTTTTTGCCGCCGAAATCTTTTGGCGGGGAGTCTTGGAGGCCCCACGATTTGAGTGCGGCGTGTGCAGAAGAGCGGCCGCCTCGCGCGGCGTACCTCCTGACGTGCAGCCCGCCAAATTGGCATGGCGGGAGTCCGCGTCGCGAAGGTTTCGCGCCACATCTGCGGCTAGCTTGTCTGCTCTCTCCTCATTCTCTCCGCTCCCTGCGACAGCGCGCGTATATGTATGCAGGCGCAAACCGCTAGCGCTGCGAGCGCGCAAACTCAGCCGACGGTTCGGCCTGATCCCGATTGGGACACACTGTACAATCCTTCGAGCGGAGCCTCGAGGAAATCAGACATACTTTCTTGTACGTATGCTATGCCATACGAATTTGTGCTGCTGTTTCACAAACTCCTTAGACATACATACAGTATTATAAAGAACTTTCCAAGCTCTCTATAATAGCTTGAATGTATGAAAAATTCTTTAGAATTTTTCATAAGAGAGGAGTTCATTCAAAAAAAGTGCAACAATTGGCCCAGATTTTCAGGCTGAAATCATTTTGTGGCTCACAATTTTTTTTGAAAATGGAAAATGTCGAGATAATTTGCATATTCATGGATAGAACGAGAAAAGCCCTACCAGATATCAACTGTCAAAGGTAAGCTCATTCGATTACCTTGATACGAGAATAGATAATATGTTTCCCAATACTCAATGCTCTATCTTCTGTTCCAAAGCGTTGAGACCACCAGATACTCGTGGATTTGACAGTCGCCTCAGTAATCACTACGTCAAAATCTTTGATAGGCTTCCTTGTTTTACTGCGGAGGTGCTGCTCAAGGTCTGAAATTACTTGAAGTGATGAGCTTTGATTTTGAGCTCTTATAAAACAAATGATTTTGAGCTCTTATAAACAAACACCTTTCAGAAATAGTATTCCATCCGTAGCGTAATTTCCTAAAGTTACCATGGGCACGTGGTAAGAAACGGGCTAAACTTGCCCACAACTTTAACTAGAGGTTTCGCATGATTACGCTATGATATCGGTAGCTCTCAAAAGATACATTTTCGCAAACTTGCGTTGAATATATGGTGTGTCCCCATTTTGATTACAATGTCCACAGCACTACCCATATAATAACCGTGAGTACTCGATATGCGAGCTCTTCGGACAAGATAAGCAATTAAGAATTCCAATCCATCTACAGTCTGTCCCAATCCCAATCAGGCCAAAATCGGTATGGCGGAATCCTTGTGCTAACGTTTTAAGTCACGCTTACGACCTGCTTGTTTGCTCTCTCTTCGGTCTTCGCTCTCTCAGACATCGCGTTGCGGCGCAAACTAGCGCTGCGAGCGCGCCAATTCACATTAACATTTGGGCTAATCTATTGGGATAGACTGTACCATTCATTCCCTGTAATCTCAGGTAGCGGTGCCGTGCGAAATCAGTACAGAATTGGTGATCAGCGTGCCAAATGAGCTCTGAGTGAAGTTTCAGCGTGATAACGTAATTTTGTAATTTTTGGGATTCTGTTTGGAAAGCCCAGTGGATTCTTAGGGATCGGCCATACTATTCCTGTTATTCCTACGACTCCTGCGATTCCTGTGAGTCCCGCACAGTTTATACGCCGCTTAAATGAGCGCGTGTTGCGTGTTACGTGTTGTTTTACGCAACACGCGCTCATTTAAGCGGCGTCTAAACTGTGCGGGACTCACAGGAATCGCAGGAGTCGCAGGAGTCGTAGGAATAGCAGGAATAGTATGGCCGATCCCTTATAGACGCTGGTTTCCACATGGCACTCTATTTATTGTATCCTTCAGAGATAATCACGCCTTTCCTGCGAGGTAGAAAATCAGATTAACAGAGAAGACAGAAGAAGACTATTTGGTTTTCGTTGGAACCTACGATGACGACGCTTAACCTCACAGCAGAAAGAGATTGAGGGAAAGGGCCAAAACTGCTCAAAATTTGAAATTTGAACGAAAAAGGGAGTCAAACAAATTGAAAAGAACATAACAGCTGAAGAGTACAGTATATTAATCATTAAAAACCTTTGAGCAATCAACTCAATCATAATTCACAATCTTTGGCTTCACTCTGTGCTAAGCAACTGCGCTTGCATTTATAATGGCAAGTGCTAATTTTAAACAAGAATTACCACATGGGTGTAAAAGATACTGACAGTTACGACAGCAAAAATAATATCGAAATCAAAAATAAACTACACTGCTCGAAAAAACAGCGATTAAAATGATGTAATGATGCTAAACTGAGAAAAAAGGAAAAGAGTCGATAAAACCAGATCGAAGCGCAAATAAACCTCACCTCGTAGGCAATGCAAGGATCAACACGTATTTATGCGTTCGTTTGTTGGCCACCACGTGTCCGCGGGTGAGTCGGCACTTGGAAACGAGGCTTGCGAAACACCACTAGTCACTGAAGTCGCTGCTCCTCGCTGATAACCTTTTTTTTAGTAAAGGGCAATGATTGGTGCTATCATTCATTTTTGTGACTAATAGACTCGAAACCGCTCTGCACACATTGTATCAGTGGTTCGTAGGCTCTGTAGTGGCCTTAGGCGAAATAGCGCCTGGTAGAGTGTGTTATATAGAACACATAGCTAATAAGCTTTATTGAGACAGGCGACCTGCACACGTTGGTGCTGTGGTAGAATGCTGACTATAATAGGCGTGGTAGAGTAACATAACACACTATCACAGCAGGTCATGCTTATGGCATGACCTGTAAGGTACTTCGGTGAGGATAACGGTTGTTAGGAAGTGCCGACAATGTCGGCACACTCCGGCCAGCGGGAGGAAAGAGAGCAATGAAATGAATTACAAGTACAACATATATCTATGCGATAAAGGGGTGTCGGTTATATCGGCACACTCCGGCCGAGCATGATGATGAAAAGGAAGAGAATAACGGAACAAATCTACATCCGTATCGCGTACTCCATTTGTCAGGATCACGTAATGGTCGTTGCCGTGAAGGATCGCTAATGATTTTGAAGCAGCTAACGGTAGAATTATCGTTGCAGCATTGATGGGGCGATAGAAGGAGAAGCAACTGTAAAATGTGATTGTGACGACGTCTTTGAAAATCCTTCTCCGGCGGCGGGTAATATGCAGAATTTTGAGCAATGTTTCGTTTGTCGTCGTCCTTGCATTCGAGATGCTGCTTCACAGAGAGACCATTAGTTAGATCATTGCACTCGTCTGCCTGCGGCAATCTCGGTATCATGACCTCCATCCTCGGATGCTCATTTGCAATAGTTGGCGAGGTGCTGTCGACATCTTCTTCACTGTGAATTTCGTTAAGGTCATCGTTACCTGTTTCGTCGTTGTCGGGGCCGTAGATCATCGTATCATCGCTCAGTCCTTTGTGTGAAACCTCCAGCTTGTTGTTGTCCTCATCGTTTCCTTTGAGCAAAGTTTGTCCGTTTGAATTTTCCATGCAATTCATAAGCCTTGCGTTAGAAAACCTCCTTCCGCTTCCTACTAACTCTAGCATATCATCTGCTATGCGTTCTTGCAAGATGAATAGAAACCTTTTAGCGTCAAAAATGGTTTCAAAAAATTTTATCTCTTCTTCCAGCGCATCCCATTGCTCCGCCATTAACTTCTTCGCAGCTTCGGATTCAATTTCCTCAAGTCTTTCCATCAATATGTCGTAATCCATTTTTAGCGATTCAATGGCATCTTCAACTTCCATTTTGCACCTCGCTAGTGAATCCAGATGTTGAGCGCATAATTCTTGCCGCTCTCGATTGCCATCTGGAAGAATAATTCTCTCACCAAGGCAGGCGTACTTCTGCAATAGTTCCGCGAGTTCCGTGGTGGATATTCTGAATACATCTATGAGGAAAGGCGAAATCCTCATCGCTGTTGTAGTTGTGCTGCTTTTTTGAGCAAGCACGTATCGGTCTTATTTGGCCGATGCACCAAATGTATCAGTGGTTCGTAGGCTCTGTAGTGGCCTTAGGCGAAATAGCGCCTGGTAGAGTGTGTTATATAGAACACATAGCTAATAAGCTTTATTGAGACAGGCGACCTGCACACGTTGGTGCTGTGGTAGAATGCTGACTATAATAGGCGTTGTGCCGATATAACCGACACCCCTTTATCGCATAGATATATGTTGTACTTGTAATTCATTTCATTGCTCTCTTTCCTCCCGCTGGCCGGAGTGTGCCGACATTGTCGGCACTTCCTAACAACCGTTATCCTCACCGAAGTACCTTACAGGTCATGCCATAAGCATGACCTGCTGTGATAGTGTGTTATGTTACTCTACCACGCCTATTATAGTCAGCATTCTACCACAGCACCAACGTGTGCAGGTCGCCTGTCTCAATAAAGCTTATTAGCTATGTGTTCTATATAACACACTCTACCAGGCGCTATTTCGCCTAAGGCCACTACAGAGCCTACGAACCACTGATACATTTGGTGCATCGGCCGGGAACGATCGATATCATGCCCCGCTTCCAAGGAGGACAGCGGAAACCACAAGAAAGTGATGCGACTCTTCATCTCATCATAAAGGACCTGAAGACGTACACCAAGAATCTCGCGGACATACTGCAGAAATACCAGCACTATGGTGAGAAAATTACTCTTCCAGATGACGAACAAGAACGACAGGAGTTCTGCCTACACCATCTGGACCTACTACCAATATGCATCATGGAAATCAAAACCGGCAAAAACCAGCTGGAATCAAAAATTGACATCATGAGGAAGCACTACAAGGAAAGCTCCAAAATGATGAGACAAGCCATGGCAAATAAAATGGACGCGCTCCAAGAACAGATAAGATTTTTTCAAATAGCCGGCAATGCTCAGATGTTTACGTTTGAGCTAGAAATGCTCGCTACAGATATTGAGATAGAACTGGCCGCAATAGGAAGTAGAAGAAGATTTGCAACAAATCAAAGTAGCATTAGAAAGGTTCTACACAGACACATAATGCATGCCGGATTTCCATACGCTGAAGAAAAAGCAAGTCACACTGCAAACGATAAGCCAGACGAACATAACAATGACGAGAAAATTAGTGAAAATGATGGATATCGGGAGTTCGAGGCTGAAGACACTGATGTACTACCAGCTATTGCAGATGAGAGCCTGACCTTTGCACAGGTCACACTGCCAGGATCGCCTCTGGCAAAGGCATGCAATAATATCAGTGAAGAACGCCAACTTCAGAAGTTACGATCATGTAAGAACAATGAGAAGAGAGGAATTTATGAACTTCATCCAGTACCAGTGCCAGTGAAGATCAGTTTAATAACACTTTCCATTGGCCTGCACTATAGTTTAGATATATCTACTTCACTTTTTGGCAGCCGCTACACAAGAAGGATCCCTGTGTTCAGTCGCGTTCCGGTGCAACGACGACCATTACGAGACCCAGACAAAGGCACCGCTTCATGGATAAATGTTGTTGCATTACCAATTCTACTATCACTTTTCAATTCATTTGTCCATTCCTCTTGCCGGGCGGAGTGTGCCGGTACAACCGACCCCCTTTCTATCGCACAGATGTTGTCCTTCTAATTCATTTCGTTGCTCTCCCCCCGCTGGCCGGAGTGTGCCGACTGTCGGCACTTCCTAACAACCGTTATCCTCACCGAAGTACCTTACAGGTCATGCCATAAGCATGACCTGCTGTGATAGTGTGTTATGTTACTCTACCACGCCTGTGCCGGCTCTGAGCTAGATCCAACCTCTTGCTCAAAAATTATCATGATTTTTTCCTTAGATCGTCGCGGATTGAAAATTTGCATGATAGTATGAAACGGTTTCCTACTTCTTCGTCTGCGCTTTTTTATATAACTTATGGAATACTCTTTGTAATTTTCATTGTTCGATGTTTACTCATGCTTGCCTTTTCAGTCTTGTTGATGAGAACTTTTCATAGTATCTGCTTACTAGTCCAATGTATCGGTGGCTCTAGGCTTTATAGTAGCCTAAGGCGAATAGCGCCTTTTGTGAGTTATATAGAACACATAAGCTGTAGGGAGCTTTATTGAGACAGACGACGTGCGCTCATGGGCGCAGTGGTAGAATGCTGACTATAATAGGCGTGGTAGAGTAACATAACACACTATCACAGCAGGTCATGCTTATGGCATGACCTGTAAGGTACTTCGGTGAGGATAACGGTTGTTAGGAAGTGCCGACAATGTCGGCACACACATTCTCTAAAGCTTCACCTTGTTCTTCCCCGTTTCCAACTACTAATACATTTGTAGGTACCATCGGCTCCTCAATTCTGCGAGGGCGGTCGCGATGGTCAACCGATAATCAATTTATCAGCTATGTTTCAACACAGGGCAACCGCATCGCCGATACGCTCGCCCGAGTCCGCCCTCGCGGCAATCGGGGAGCCGATGGTACATACGTATAGGCGAGTCACACGCAAAGACAGGGCGCAGGCCTTGGCACGAGCTGGCACCAGGGAAACTCCAAAACGAAGTCCCGTTTGATCTTGGAAATTTCGTACGAAGTCCCCTTTGACCTGTTTTGAAGACCCGTCACTATTTTTAGATTATGTAAAAGTATGTACAGGGCTTTACAACCTGAGTGTCCCACCCGCCCCGCTAGGACGCCACGCCTAGGTCCGCGCAGCGTTCGTGGCGCTGGCTGCGCGTCGACTGAAGCTTGGCAAAATCCGGGCGATACGCAGCAAACGCCGCGCGTGGCCTGAGCGAGGTGGCCGCGTTGGAGGAGCCGCGCAAGCGAAACTTGCGACTCTCAGGTTGAAAAGCCCTGTAGCAGGGTTTATGATCGTCTCCACGATTCGCGTAGAGGTGTATTGCAGACTTTGTCTGATAACACAGGTAAACTTGTTAAACCTCCACGTCATAGCATTGTTTTTAGTACTCTCTCGCTATCAAAAACCGCCACGCTTTGAGTTGGCAAAACCCCGCCTTTACATGAATCGTGGAGCCGATGATACATGCATGCTGATTTCATGGAAACAACTTTTCACAGCTTCCTGAGCTTTTTAAGTGGTTGAATCACATCTTGAGAAGCAGAAAAAGCCGATATTTCCACTGCATAACACACCGAGTAATTTCCAAATGGCTATAAAACGCTGAAAAGAAAACGTTATGAAATTGTTTCTTCTCTGTATGTAAACTTTTACAGTGTAGATATAGGCTGCTGCATGACGAAGGCGCAGTATCGTCGGGCGCGAACGCGGTTTCATTAGCCGCAGAGCGCATGAGGCGCAGGATTTACAACGGTGAGGATACGCGCGCGTCGCGTTCGCGCCCGCTCAGCTGATACTGCTTCTGCGCCTTCGTCATGCAGTAGCCTTTACATTTCATGTAAAAAAGTATGAAAACTTATGTATAGGCTGCTGCATGACGAAGGCGCAATATCTTTGGGCGCGAACGCGGCTTTATAAGCCGCAGAGCGCATGAGGCGCAAAATTTACAACGGTGAAGCTGCGCGCGCGACGCTTTGCAGCCGCTCAACTGATACTGCTTCTGCGCCTTCGTCCTGCAATAGTCTTTAAGGAAAGTGTGCCAGTTCAGGTGGCACCCAGCTGGCACGGTGCCAGCTAATTCAGAAAAAAAGTTCAGCACAGCTTTCATTTACATAAGTCATAAATTTTTGGGCCATAGTTCGGGTCTCCCAACGCGCTTGCATACACCAAGTTTGGTGTCATACTATTGCGTTTTGGCTGGAAACAACGCCTTTGTTTGTTTGATGGGCAGCATGCCGGTGGCATGCCGGCGGCATTCTTACTGCTCTTCTCCGCCCCGGACCTCGGAAAACGATCCCCCTTTGCTTTCCGCCCTAAAAACGATATCCAGCTTGACCCGGTGCCAGTTGTGCGACCCCTGACAGGGCGTTACCACGGGTATCGGCGCCTTGCTGATAGCGCACTCTTTCAGCCCTCTTGCCGTCTGCTGTTTTCATACGAACTATGTTGGTAGGGCGCAACAGTCTAGTCTGTGCGTGTCATGAGCCGGGTCAAGCAAAAGGACAAGCGACAAGCGTGACAAGCGATCGCTAGATACGACCCTTCCTCCTAAGTGCTGTCTCAGTAAGACCCTTGAAGTACTGAAAACCTAAAATAGGTATAACACAAAGGCCCTACCAAGCATAATGAGTGATATACATAACTAGCTGGTTTGCCTGGCTCCGCCCGGCCCTGTCAAAACACTACACGTAAAAGCCCATTCCTATCCCTGCACTACCTTTCCCTGTTCCCACTTCTAATGCTAATCCGCTGTGTTAGTAATCAACACGCTAAATTACCCCCCCCCCCCCCTCCCGGTGCCAATCCCAGCCACGTAGCTCAAACTTTGCAAAAAAGTCGATAAATCGATAAAAGTAGATAATAAAAACCAATATTATGTTCATACTCAGCATGTCCGATTATCCCCCCCCCCACAGGTGCGATAAGATGAGAATGACTCCTCCAGGGTGAAGGGGGACAGTGGTCGCAGCCCCTTCAGGGTGAAGGGTGTTTCACTTGGTAGAGAAATTGTAAAATGTCGACAGGGGGGGGGGGGGGAGCCATGATGTTCTCTCATCATTTCTCCAGTCAAAGTTCATAATTTGTTCCTTACCATCACTGGTTATCTTTTTTCTGAAATGTGAACCGATATGCTGCTAGATTAGCATGCAATTATATTTCTGACCAGCACCTTGTATTTTTTAAACATTTCCTTTTCCTTTTTCACATCACCCTGCCTGTTTTTGGAATTACCATAGAAGATGTGCATGCGAGCACATTTGTTTCGGAAAGAGTTAGACAATTTTTAAACATTTACGAATTTTTTTGAAAGAAGAAATTCGTAATTTCTGTATATGAACAGCAACGTCAGCAAGGAAAGTGTTTTTAAAACCACATTGTCTTCTGCTTTTAGAAATACTTTGTTTGGAGTCTGTTGAAAACCTAATGAAGAGTGTGGGCAGTGGTTTCTGGATATTTACGAGTTTTTAGGATAGAAAAATCCGTAACATCTGGAGATGAACATCTTGTACGCCGCGATGGTCACCATTAAAACCGTCTCGTCCTCCGCTTTCAGAAAATATATACTGTGACTGCCTTCACCCGGCACTTTTTCTAACGGACCCCGGGAAAGTATATATTTTCTGAAAGCGGAGGACGAGACGGTTTCAATGGTGACCGTCACGGCGTATAAGATGTTCATCTACAAAAGTTATGAATTTTTTATGTTAAAAACTCGAAAATCTCCAGAAATCACTAGGACACCCCTCACCCAGGCACTTTTTTCAAGGACTCTAGGCAGCGTATATATTTTCTGAAAGCGGAGGACGAGACGGTTCCAACGGTGACCATCTCGCCGTAAAATATATTCATCTACAAAAGTTATGACTTTTTTAGGTTAAAAACTTTAAAATGTCCAGAAATCAGTACTCACACCCGTCACCAAGCACTTTTTTCAACAGACTCTTCCATTTCTGTACGTAAAACAATTCACGTACAAACATAGGTGCGATAGTGTGAGAATTTGCTCACCCCCCTTCACTTCTGAGCCGGAAACCAAGGTGACCCCCTTCACCAAAACCGACAAAAAAAAATCAACAGTGAGGTAAGGTTATGCCTGATAAAATGACCACGCTATCAACCTATTTGTAGGCTCTACAGTCAAGAAGCAAGTGAAGGGCAATCGTGGCATTCTTCCAGCTATGTCCTTAGACCGATTTTATGAGGACCGATTTTATAAACAGTCTGAAAAAGTGAGTGTGGTCAAAATTATTGGATGGTACACAAGTGCAAAACTGAGGTTTTTGCAGGCGTAATGTTCGAGAAGGAAAGGTTATATAACGCTTGTCACTTGCTTCATACGAATATGGGATGAAGGACCGGACCGACCGATGACTATATTCTTGTCTTAATTTTGCCGTTTCATGCTTTGTAATTTAATGAAAATATTGAAAGTTGACGACTATCAACTATTGTGAGGCCATCAGAAGTTGTAATAGAAAGTGGTTCTGAGAAGTGTGATAATAGGAAGTATCAAAAATTATGAATGATGGAGCACGTAGAAAGAAGTAAAATATTGTCTGCCCAGGAAACTCTGAAAGATACAGTAAAATTATTGCATGTATAAATGGCCATTCTTAGTAAATGTGCACGTAAATGGTAAGAAGGAAACACACGAGAGCAGGATTGGAACCTTCTCGTTATCTTCTAAAGAAGGCATTGGATGACAGTGGAAGAAACAAGGACAGGAAAATCGGAACGCCTGACTGCCACGAAAAATTTATTCCGCTGAAGACTACTGGACACTGTGTAATACTGAACTTGTTAAATTCGGCAATTGGAAAAATTAGGGTTGTTGAAACAAAGTGAGGTTGTAACTACTTTTTGTTTAAATTTAGATTTAGCATAGGAGATATTTGTACGAAAATTGTTAGTGTATCGGAAAGGAGGGAGAAGATTTATAGGCAAAATTTGAAAAAATTCAATTAAAAATTCATAACGTTCGTAGATGAACAGCTAGTACAAGGAAATGCTCACCATTGAAACCATTTCTTCCTCTGCTTCCAGAAAATATATAGTTTGTCTGGGATCCGTTGAAAAAAGTGCGTGGTGAAGGGGGTGCCTAGTGATTTCTGGAGATTTTCGAGTTTTCAACATAAAAAAATTCATAACTTCTGTAGATGAACAGCTAGTACAAGGAGATGCTCACCATTAGAACCGTCTCATTCTCCGCTTTCAGAAAATATATAGTTTGTAAGGGATCCCTTGCAAAAAGTGCCTGGTGAAGGGGGGGGGGTGAGAATTTTATAACGGGAGTTCTCAGGCAGAGGCCTTTTCACCATTGTAAAAAGACGTCTACCTGAGAACTCCCGTTATAAAATTCTCACCCCCCCCCTTCACCAGGCACTTTTTGCAAGGGATCCCTTACAAACTATATATTTTCTGAAAGCGGAGAATGAGACGGTTCTAATGGTGAGCATCTCCTTGTACTAGCTGTTCATCTACAGAAGTTATGAATTTTTTTATGTTGAAAACTCGAAAATCTCCAGAAATCACTAGGCACCCCCTTCACCACGCACTTTTTTCAACGGATCCCAGACAAACTATATATTTTCTGAAAGCAGAGGAAGAAATGGTTTCAATGGTGAGCATTTCCTTGTACTAGCTGTTCATCTACGAACGTTATGAATTTTTAATTGAATTTTTTCAAATTTTGCCTATAAATCTTCTCCCTCCTTTCCGATACACTAACAGTTTTCGTACAAATATCTCCTATGCTAAATCTAAATTTAAACAAAAAGTAGTTACA